AATAAAATATCCAAATGTCTCACTCACCTACGAGAAAAACAAAAAATAAAGACATGAAGAGATGAATAGAAATGATAAAATAATGCACATACCCAATATTGTTTTGGATTTGTTAAATAATTACCATATAACATATTATCAATAAATAACCATACGAGAAATAGAAGAAAAGTAACCAATGTAAATAAAAATACATTTCTAAAATACAAATTATATTTTTGATTGTTTAATTTTGTTATACGATGTATTCCGGTTATTAACCATCCAAACATTATCAGACAACTTGATAGAACACAAATTAGTATCCAATCTTCTTTGATATTTATGAAATTATATCCAGCAAATAAATTAAATAACATTGATGTAAAGTAGAATAAACCAATAAAAATAGATATGAATTTATTTTTTATTGATGGATATTGTGCAATAAAACCATAACCATGTGCTAAAAATATAATTAATATAAGACATAGAGTTGAATCACATATTAAAAATAAATGCCATAAAAATAGCGATTGTTCTATTATCGATAGACCATAGTGATTTTGATACTCATAATTGAATAATTCGACTGATTGTCCAATTAAATTTGTTATTAATATAATTAGAATCCATAAATGAATTAATGATAAAGAATGGCGATTTATATAACAAGAAAGTGTCCAAAAAATGAGTAAAAATAAAAATAGAAATGAATTAAATCGATAAACTAATAATAATGGATATTGTGTTGGTAATAAATAACCATGAGACGACTGACGTTTGACAGTAAGATTTATACGAAATGATTTATCAGTTTTTATTCTTAGTGAATAAAATGCTGTTGTTTTAATATGAATACTCGTATTTGTCAATAAAACCATTGAATCATTATTTACACTATTGACAGCTAAAATAATAGTAACAATAAAGCGTATATTGGAGAAAAACAGACGCGTTTAACTTTCTGAAAATAATTTAGTTTTTGATCATATTTACATCAATCGTTTTAGATCATTTTTTCTGTCTTCTGTAAGCTCTACAATTGAGATTACAAGAAAATTATGATCACTGATGCCAGTCTGTCTTTTCTTTGCTTGTTTCTTTAATTTACAGTCGACATTCTGCTTTTCGTTTCTCAGGTCTGTTCGAAGAGGAGATTTTACGCTTAATTTACTCAACTGCATTTTAGAAACTGAAATTCATATTAATGAACTTTTGTAACGTAATAAATCTATTATTTAATTAGAGGGTAAACACTACATGCATTTTCGAGATCAACAATGAGGAGAGATCCTCTATGGAAACGTTCATCGATAATAGGGAAAAGAGATACTATAAAGACCAAACTGATTCGGATCGGAATCGAACCCGCGATAACGAAAATAACATTCATCATACTTTGCTCTATATCCAACTGACGAGGGAAGATCCTCAAGTGTTACTCTCACTTTTCAATGAGACATATCCTAATTTGTAGAGCACCACGAGTTGATTACGACGGCATAAAGCATTTTCCTACATGGCTCTTGAACACCCGGTTTTTCAGAAACTCGAAAAAATGGCCAAAACCTTTCTTAATGAGGCATAATTGTAACCCGCGCATTTCTGATTAAAATGAGACATCTCCCAGCTCTACAAGTTCTTTCTTTGTAAAGTTATAGATCTCACACGAAAAGCCCTAAGAATTATTCCACCGGAAAGATACAACGTTTACATCGAAATCTGTCTCATCTGAAATAGCATCGAATTCTGATACTTTGGTCTATTCTGAGTCGAATGGCGAAAGTCCGAGATCTGTATCACATTTGGTTCGTGTAAACGATCAATTTTAAAATTGGTCGGCCATTTTGCGACGCGTTTTTCTCCATGAAGATAAACTCCTGTCACAATTCTAGATAGTGCAATGGAATCAGCGCAGTTTAGTCTATCAGGAACATTGGTTTTGAAATTTTTAGTGCGTCTTTGAAAGGTAGGAGAGAGCCATCTTTCAAAGCTGATACGTGATTTTCGCC